TCCTCCTTTCCTCGTTCTCCGACCCGGTAGTCGGTGTTACGACATACCGGGCGCGTACCACGCCGTACCCGCGTACGGTTGTTGCCAACGTGCCCGAGCGTGTGTAGCATGCTCGGGTCACGTGATCAGGGAAAACGCGGCGCCACACTTGGTCTACTTTTATCCACGAAAATAATAACTGCAGAGGTGGAATCTCTTGACAACGAAACTCTAGGGATCAGATAAAAAAAAAAATTTTGGAGAGGGAGAATTTCGTAGTAGAAAACCTCCATTACATGGAGAGAGTAGAGTCTATGGAGCACAAAAAGATAGGTTTATGGAGAAACTCGTTGTAGACAAGATGGTTGTAATGAGAGTCCACCTGTATGACATATTTTACATTGCAAATCACGAAAAATTCTGAATTAAGCATGCTGTGTTATATTTGCATGGAATTTTTGCATACGTTTTTTATCATTTATTTTTATCTTAGTCAACATGAAACTCTTGAATCCAGCAACCACGCATTTCTTCAACAAAAATGTTCCAAAATCTAAATTTTCAGAAAGAAAATCCTATAGTCGGCGAGGACGGAATAAATTCAGAGGAACAGTCGTCACTTCGTGATTTCCGCGTCGTTCTTCAGAAATTCTTGGTGAAATAAAAGTTTTTACAAACCCTTTCCGGGATATTAATGATAATTTATTTTATTTTGATTCTGGACGAAATTTCTAATTTGCGAATGCAGTTGAAATGAATTGCAATCTGGCTTTCATAAGTGACGCTGAAACGATTATAATAAGATTACCTCATTAATCCGGGCTTCGATTCGATTGATGTCAATGGCATTCAATTAGCTACTATCGAATTGCGGATTGAAGTGAATGCATGTGAACAAATAATTTGCATAATCTGGGGGTATAGCTCAGTGGTAGAGCATTCGACTGCAGATCGAGAGGTCCCCGGTTCAAATCCGGGTGCCCCCTACTTTTTTTTTATAATTATTTATATCAAATACATATGTTATGCATAATGGACTATTCAAAGCGAAGGATGCATATCGAGCCCCCCTCTGCAGTGGAAAAAAGTAACTTTTTCGACCATAGTCCGCATGAGAATTGAGCAAGAAAAAGTGCCAATTCCACGGAGTTTTTGTGCATTGCCGAACGGCGAACTACACGCGAATATCGAATTCGCGCGTTTCGAATTTAACCGGGGGGGGGGGGGGGGTTCTTGATACCTTCTTTCGACACCGGTCCTCGTAAATCAGGTGGGACAACGGATTGAACCTCACTGACAAGTAAAAGGGGGAGAACTGGAGCAGGGCGAAATTTATGGCTGATCTGCGGTGGGTCGGGCTTGGTTCGAACCGGCGGCCTTTAAAAGAAAAAAAAAACTCGAATCGAATGCCTGGAGATTCGTGGACGCGTCAAGAATGCCACTGCTGTGCTCCAGTTTCGTGTTGGGGGGCCTTGTTTAGAAATTTCGTCCAGAATCAAAAAAAAAAATCGTCATTAATCCCGGAAAGGGTTTGTAAAAACTTTCATCTCGCCAAGAAATTCTGAAGAACGACGCGGAAATCACGAAGTGACTGACGACTGTTCATCTGAATTTATTCCGTCCTCGCCGACTGACAGATTTCTTTCTGAAAATTTAGATTTTGGAGCATTTTTGTTGAAGAAATGCATGATTGCTGGATTCGAGAGTTTCATGTTCACTGAGAATTATGTTGACTAATCATTTACAAATAAATGATTAAAAACGTATGTATCAATTCCATGCAAATATAACACAGCATGCCTGATTCAGAATTTTCCGGCGATCTTTTTTTATTCGTCGTCTCAATCTTCTTTAAAAATGAAAAAGAAATTAATTCGTTGAAAGTTAACTGGTGCTCTTCAACAGAAACGGGAGATGCACATGATTTTATTTAATTTCAGCCCATTTTGATTACAATTTTTGTCTTGATCACGACTCATGAGAATAAATAATGCACTCGTATATGCTAATCCAAGACGCGATATCAACACACAGTCAAACACGAATAGGAAATCCACGCTGATTTATCCAAGCCATTTTTCCGAAAAATGTGTTTTTAATACTGTATTTTGTCTGTTGGAAGTGCATCGTTACTTATTTAGACGCTGATGCAGAACTTTTTTTTTTGAAACGGGTGTGGACATCTTCTGGTGTGAAATTGCAAAAGTATGCTAAATTTTAGAACTGCGGTAGTTCTGCTTCATTTTTTTCACAACCCGTAATTCAAAATTTTTTTGCACAATCTCGCGATAAAAGGATCAACTGATTCATCGGCGTTCGTGGGATTTCCGTTTTCATGCTTTATCGTCCGCTTGCTCAATAAAAATATTTGTCTTAATAGAAAGACGAACTTGGCAGCTGAATGTCCATGACGCAATATACAGTTATTTAACCGCTTGTCCTCTGTAAAACTTCCATAAAACTATTTGAAGGCCCATTTCTTGGGGTTCGGAGGGAAGCGGTGTATATAAATTTTTATTCCGCGATCAGGTATAGCGGGTGCTGGTGAAGTCGTGAGAGATATAACTTGTCATTGACCCGGAAGCGAGATTGATACTCGCAAATGTCCAGTTCGCTGAACCGCACTCTCGGGAATTCGCGTCAGTGGTGGAAACTCTGGGGTTTATCAACTCCGGATGTATGCTCGTAACTTTTTTTGTGGCTATTCTACGAGCTAGTGGAAGTCATTTTTCCGAGCAGATTTTTTTTACTTCTTTACATCTGAAACTTTTCGAAAAAAATAATAACGCAGCTTTCTATTTTAAAAATCCAATAGAAATCATATTCTTCCCGTTATTCTTGGTCATGCAGTATTTCTGTTGCGCTGACTGTAGTTCAATACAGTATTAATCTAATATTCTTCATTGAAAGAATAACGAAAAAAAAAACTGTGAAAAACGTGAATGCTCTTTCAGAATATTTCTTTAGTCTAAATTTGAGGAAATTTCAAATGCCTTCTGAGTAAATCGTTATGGGGGTACGATGTGCGAACGTCACAGTGCACAAATTTTGAAAATGGCTATTTCCAGTTTTTAAAAAACTGTCGACAGAATTTGTTTCAAGAAATATAAGTCATGGATATCGTTTAAACGCACAAGTGATGAAGGCTGTCGTTAGACACGTGAACGATGAGCGATCTCAATTTGATTAATAAGGTGTTACCAGTGGAATTTATTTTCGGATGAGGTGTTGAATTATGGAAAAAGATTTTTCAAAGCCAGGAAGAAGAACAAAATATTGTATACGTAAAAATATCAGAGTCGTCAATTTTCCTGCAGCTCGAAATATCACCAAAAAAAAAAACTTTCGATATTTCGGTGCGTTTTAGAGGAGTTGAAGAAAGTCCATTTCAAGAAGCAGACTGGAATCATTCAAACCACTTGAAAAAATAATCCTCAATTAATTGTAGAGTACACTTTTTCTGAATGCCAGAGCCTTCAGTGACTTCTTTTTTATTTATTTTTCAAGACATCTTACGAAGGACTCGCTGTGCCAAAGATGAAAATGGAATTCTTGCAAGAAAATCGTATGAAGTATATTTTTGAAAAATAAAACAATGAATCAGTATCCTGTACGTGCGTGGGTTCAAAGCGTGCCTCGTCATTTCGCCTGCAAGAATCTGCGTTATTCGCGTCGTCCAGCAACTGATGCTGACTTCGATATCGGGTTATACACGAGTCGTGGATCGAGTGGCACCGGTATCAAAGAGTCTATTTCTACTTTCCAGATAGCGCAGCGCCGGCTGATGGGAACAGCCTGGACCCACCTCACGGTCAGAAGGACTTCAAGAAGAGGAAAAAGGACAAGGGCCGCCTGATGCCTGCCCCGATTGTGCCGCCGGGTTTGTTCATTTCCCCTTCCTCACATTAATAATGTCAATGCTATCGTAATCCGGAATTATGCCTGAAAAAAAATTCAAAGTAATGCCTCTTCCGAGGTGGTAATGAATTCAGATGTTACATTTCCAATTCCCGATTTCAGTCCTGCTCCGTTTTTTTCTTCAGAATTTTAGCTTGACAAAAAAAAAAGTGGAGTGCGCGTCATGCTTGATTCGACATTCTTAATCGGCATATATATATTTTTTATTTTCGGCTCACATCACGCTCGGAACACGCTCAGTGAAGTTTAAATAATTATTTTTTTTCTAAAGACTAGATTTCGTAAAAAATACATATTGAAGATTGAATCAAACAGGCAGATGAAAATTTTAAACTCGAAAAAAATGCAGCGCAATCGAATACAAATTTAATCAGTTTACATTTTGAATTTCAGCATTCATATCCATTTGTTTTTGAGCGACAGAAAGCACGGTTGTTCGTGAAATATGGGGATGGATTTTTCCCAAACCTTTTTTTTTCAAAAGTTAAGTTGCACTTCTTAAATCGCGGTACACAGTACTTAATTTAATGCAATAATGTATTTCTAAAAAAAAATACGGTAATTCACTGTGCTCAAGTAAGATAAGAAAAAAATTTAATGGGACCCAGCTGCAGCAAATTTAATATTGCACAAGCAAAAGGCGCATATTTAAGTTTTTTCGTTAGCAAAATTATTTATACGCTTTAAAATCATGCCGCACTAAAATTAATTCAAGTAATGAGGCTATCTATTGTTCATAAAAATTGAATTCCAATAATATATCTGCCTCTATCTTTGAATCTTTTCCAACTCTTGAATGGTGGCAGGTTCATTTGTATATCTTGGCAGAGCTAGGATAATTTTTGCGCACTGTTGCATTTTGATTTGACTGAAGTTCACAAAAATGCATCCTGGGTTGGCAAGCATAAACGCAAAAATAAAACCTAGGAGAATAAAGCTAATTTTGTAATTTTTAAAAACCTTCAATGTTAATTATATGTATGTTAAGAATGCAGAAAAACGAACACTACGCCAGATAGTGAGGAAGATTTTCTATTTTTCACCCAAAATTTTCTACAGGAAAGAAAGAAAAAATGAAATTTTTTCACGATCAGGATGCGTTTCATTTTTCTTAGTCCCTAAATACAATTATCTTGATTACAAATATTCTGCGAAAATATCCTGACTCAGCTGCAGAAAGGTTCAAATAATAATGGCTGCCCGCTCGACCCGAAGGAAATCTAGCTTTGAATAAATTATTCACGCTGTTGCTTATTTATTTTTATGCTTTTTGTGTTTCGTTTTTTTTTTCTTGTGATTTCGACGACCCGGCCCATGCAAGCAGGAACCCGAGAGCAGGCGTTTGTGAGCGCCATCTCTTCCAGCGGCGTGGCCCACGCCGTGACTCGGGCCTGTTCCGGCGGCATGTTGCGCGAGTGCGGGTGCGACGAGTCCCTGCGGGGCCGCAGTGCGGACGGGTTCAAGTGGTCGGGTTGCTCGGACAACATCGGCTACGGCACCATGTTCTCCAAGTCCTTCGTGGACGCCAAGGACCTGCGCGTGAGCCGCCGCAAGCGGGAGAAGTACGCCAAGGAGCTGGAGCAGAGCAACGGGAAACGGAAGCGCGGCACCAGTCGACGCATGGCGCCCGTGGCGCGGGCCCTCATGAACTTGCACAATAACGACGCCGGACGAGAGGTAAGGGACAGAAGGAAAAAAGCCCTCTTTTATTTATTTCATTTATTTCACAAATGTGTTGCTGATTTCCAGATGTGTCGTATTTATGATGCATTATAGTTTTTTCACTTCTTCAAATTTGAGAGGGAGAGAGCTTTTGGAATTTTTTGAGTCCTATATTTGCGCAGCCTTTTGTTGTCTTAAATGCGATGCAAGTAAATAGATAGTAGTGATCAATTACTGTCATTAATTTAATTGCTTCCCAAATTGACAAGAGTTGGAGATTTAAATTGTTTTCCACAACTTCCAAAGGAAACACAAAAGTTACTCTGTGAGAGTATTATATAAATTTAATATTTTCAAATCAACTTCAATTCAGTATTGTACAAACATTGTAAGTTGCAGAGCGAAGAGGCAACAACAGGGTTTCAGTTCAGAGTCTGAATGCAGTATAAGCTTGCCTCAACATAAAATGCACCTGAATTTATACCTGGCCAGCCAAGGTTGAGAAATATGCATAGCAACCAGTTTGGATTGGGAACACACACTTTTTTTGCTTGGTAAAAGATAGAACCCTGAATGCCGGTTGGAAAGTATTCCAGTCTGCAACAGGATTGTGAAATATAATGACTAGTGCTCTAGGTGCAACCAAGCATAGCAGAACACATTAACTCATATAAGGGCATTTATACAGTGTTTGTGTATTGCAGTCAATAATATGACTGCACTTTCAACAAAAGAATTTAAAAGAAGTTCTCTCGAGAGAAGCATGTACAATATGTAGCCTTCGGATTGAATTATTTGAGAGACACCCATTTTCCGTCACTACATTTCTTTGGCAAGTATATATGTGTAAAACGGACTACAAGAACAATGGTCACCTGTAAAAAGAACGATTTTTTCTCTTTAAAAGGCAGAAAATCCGCAGAATTTGAGCAACACAACTTCCGTGGAATGGGCAATTTAGCAGAATTTATGCACAATGTAGTACAGGTGCACTCACTCTACAACAAAATTCAAGGGACTAGAAAATAAAATTTTCAGAAGATGAAATTTTATTTTAGAGAACAGGTATAACATGGGGAGACAACCACATTTATTGGACCCGAGAAAAAATTTGTTATACGTACACAGAAAATTGTTGTATAGACAAGATTGTTGTAGAGAGAGAGAGAGAGAGAGAGAGAGTCCAACTTGAATTTATTTTTATGCTTCTTTTGTTGTATAAGTGCTGTAGTAACAACTAAGTGAGACTGTTAAAAAAGGTTGGAAAGCAGAGTTCCTTCAATTCATGTCTATTGTCTCCGAATGCCACTGTAATGACAAAATGGGAACTAATTTAAATTTACAGAAAAATAAAATTGAAATATTCGTTCGGCTCCGAACGAATTTCTGACATATGCAGGGTCACCTCTTTTTTTTAAACATAAGTACTACTGAGATCACTCCATTTCACACGTCGAAAGGGGGGGGGGGGGGAATTGGTTCCGTGCGGAATTTCGTTAATGGTTTGTAATTGCAGAGCGCAGCAGTGCGTTACTTCCCAGCCCCGGGTCAGCAAATCGTATGTGTGTAATTTCCGATCTCCCCCCTCTGTTGCCTATATGCGCAGTTAAATCTCGAATTATTTTTTTCTTTCTCTTTTGTATTGCGGTGTTTTACAGTGAGAGAAAACTCAAAACTTACCGTTGCATGTTGTCGCGTCGGTATCCTGCGATTTTCTGGGGACAACAAATCTTGTACGTCCAGTATTTTCAACCATCGTGTAAAAGAAAAAAAGTAACCTTTTGAGACGGTATGCAGAATTTTCTATTATTAAGAATTAAGGTTTTCGCTGTTCATGTGTGACTCTGGTAATAAATGCTTGATCGTAATATTTTTTGCTGGGTGCTAATTGACCTGTGCTGTTTTGCAGAAGTGCCGTCTTATTAGGGCTGTTTCCCTTTCTTTTTCATAATTACAATAATTATACTGCTGAAAAGTCTATAGTTCTACTGAACGGGATGTGAGCCAATAAATTCCTCCTCTCGTCCCGATGTAATTTTAATGCCTAAAATATGGGCGAATAATAATTTACGTTTCAGTTCTTACTTAATCAATTAAAATTAGCTTTTTATGCTCGGACTTCGTTTCAATCCTCGTTTTTGACGTTGATACCTTATTTACTTGCAAAACATGCGCAAAAACGCTATTTTTAAAATTTGAAAAGGTTGGGCATCATGGGAGGGGGGGGGGGGGGAAATATTTTTAATATAACCATTTTCTGCCCTTCGGAAAAAATTTCAAACTGAATGAAATTTTTCTAAAGCTGCCAGAAATAAAAATCCGAGTGTAGACCTGAATAAAGTTCAGCTCAATATACAGCATCGTCTTGTTTCGATCATTTCTTCCATCGAAGGCAACATTCCGACAAAGAAGAAGAAATAAAACGGTTAAATTCAGTAGCTATTGGAATGCAATTTTTTCTTCACTGAAATGAGGTAAACTTTGGATGCGTGCTTCACATTTGTACTGTACAGTATACTGTATTTTCATCGGCATTTCTTGTAAAAAAAAGTAATAATAATAATTCTGGTCCGTTTCTTTTTCACGGGTGCATATTTTATTCTATAATTCCAGTCATGCAGAAATTCTGGGTGTTAATTCTCATTCCTAAAACATTGTCAATGACCCAATTAGTGACAATAAGAAAATTTTCAATATTTTGGATCATTTGGTAGGAATTCCAATTCACAAAACACGAAAAATTATCCATGAAACATTAGTCGTTGGAAATTGCAAAATGTGGTTCACAAGTAATTTCCTGAAACTGAGCAATGAGCATGAGAAATGTATGTTTGCTGACACGACGTGTTTGATGTCAAAATAAAAAGATAAAAAATTGATCAAGCATCTCCATGATCTAAGAAGTACAGTAGTTTATCTCAGGCCGGAAAAAAACTAAAAATAAAAAGATGGTTCCGTAAGATTTACAACACCTATGAGCCACCAACCGTCGAACTTCATGCTTTCGACGTGAAGCTTGTGCTGATGTTCCCAAAGATTTAGCTTGTCCCAGAAAACTGAGTATATTTTACTCGAAGGAGAGAAAGAGGAGGGATGGGAAACTCTTCGAAAAAGAGTGCAAACCAGTGGGTTCAGGTTTTAACGACCACTTTCAAGAGGGCACGGGTGCTGTTGCACCAGCATAGAAGTCGAATGCTGTAGCAATGAGCATGCTGCTCGTATAAAATACTGAACTGTCACGACAGATGGCGTCTGCTATCCAAAACGGCTCTATCTCGTAAAAACCAGATGACAGGTTGTGCTACAGCTTACTGGGAAAATCCCCCTCGCTGTTTTGCAATATTATGGGTGAATTTGATCAAATCTGGGGAGGAAAATAATGCGTGAACGGCATCTGGAGTGGATTGCCTGGAGCACTCCGAGACCCACGCACAATTCTCGGCATGTGATATGGCATCGATTGTAATACTGAATCCGTCTGCATTATGGTGGGGAAAAAAGAGCGGACGAGAAGGGAAACAGTGTCAGAGCTCTGGAAATCCTGCAAGGGAGATTCACACTGATCATTTTCCCTTATATATAAGGTTAATTCGATATAATTCGATATGTCGTCACGGATTTTTGGGTTTGGATCCTCAAGTTGGAGCGAGTGTTTCCATGTGAGGGGGTATAGCTCAGTGGTAGAGCATTCGACTGCAGATCGAGAGGTCCCCGGTTCAAATCCGGGTGCCCCCTACATTTTTTTTCGATCCGATCTTCTCTTTCTTGCTTAGAATTTATTTCTCTTCCTTTTGTTTTGAAATGATGTTTCACTCAATTCCGTTTTAATCATTGAGCAACGAAAAAAATGCATACCAAAGAATGTTGTGGTTTACCTGTCTGTATGCGGAACCGTCCTTTTATCTGATTGCTTTTGAATTAGTTGCTTTTTTGAGATCTCTATTTTTCATATCTAAATCAAAATTTGCACGATTCCTAAAATTCCTTAAATTCTTGCAGATTTTAATAAGCTAAATATAAAGATAAATGCATGAATGATATCATATGATGATATTCACTCTCATTCTCATATGACACCCGAGTTTTCGTTAATTATAGCTGAAAATGCGATCGATTTCATTAGTTGAATTTACGTTATTTATTTAAATTACCTTATTGGTCAAACCTGGTTTTGCTCAATTCACCTTCACAATCTGTTTTTACGTATGAGCAACACGTATTGTGAAGATTCATCATGACAATTTCTCCAAGAATCGGATGTTTCAATTGCATCATATGTTATTTGATGTGTTACGTTTAATAATTTGCGAATTCATGAAACATTATTAAACAAAGTTCGTTGTAAAAATTTCATCTTGCACGGGTATAAAATCAATTATTATATTTTTCTTCCATTACGACGTTCCTGAGCACAAATTTGGACAATTGTTATCAGCTATGTCTCTCAACAAAGTTTCAACAAGACGAGGAAAACGTAAATATTGGGAATCCTTGTACTACGAAGAAAACCCGCGTAGTTAAAAATGAATTGTTCGTAAAAGAACAAGAAAAGACGAAGAATGAGCTTGCTTCAAATACTGTATTCCAAATGTCGTGTCAGCTGAATGATTTCCAGACCGGGAATAAACCCTCTTATTCCGCGATCAATGGCATCATTACTCGTCATCATCACACTCAAGTTTCTGTTTGCACACGTGTGATCATCCAAGTCCTGTTTTTGGAATTTGCCAGTACGTCTGTTGTTGCTTAACTTTCTCAGAAGTACTTTTCCTTGTACCCTCCAGGTCCCTTTGGAGAAATAATAAAAATAAAAAGGGACAGAAACTATACTTTGTTGTGGGAAGGAAAAGCCGTTGCTGATGACTTCAAATTGATCTTCCGGGTTATGGCCTTTTTTTATTCAATTTACGATGGTGGGATTTTGACAGGTCCCCCCTTTTTTTGAATGGAGTTGAAAACAATGCCTGTGCTTGTAGGGCAACACTATAAAAATTTATACCGTTCGCCATCAGCACTGGCTAATCCAAAAAGAAATTCCTATGTGGATATACTGGAGCCATAAAACTTTTCGTTCAGGAAACACAATATTCAGTTGTAATTTTTTTATATTGTGATGCGTTTTACTTCTGCTATTTGTGGTTGAATGCATTTTTCGGATCATTTAATAGTCTGGCGATGAAGAAATAGCGACTTTGCATTTTTAAACATGGGACGCAATATTATATTGTAGAGAAACACTTGGAATTATTGTGAACTAAGAATGGATTAATTTATTGAGAGAAAACAGAGCTTTATTTTTGTTTATAGGTGAGCAAATGAAAATTCCGCAGCAAATGCTGAATGCTGTGAATGAAAATATTTTAAAGCCGGTGTATAAAATTAAAAATCAGTAATTTGAAAAATTCGTAATTGGGTTTTGCGAGGCTTTTCGTGATTATTTTTCTTACGCATTGAACCAAAAAAAAAACGAAACAAAAATTCTGTAACGTTCTGGAAGAATAAACGAATTCCTTCTTTTCATAAAATATGCTTCAAATATTTTACCGAATCTTCGAAGAGGATACTTCTACCTTATTCGCATCTTATTTGCATGGCCTGAAGAAGCAGTCAACTAACTTCATCAAGACCTTTTTAAATTGCTACACGAGATTAATTAATTCACGTACTGTAAATATTTTGATTTACTGTATGTAACTCGCCTTGTTTCATCAGCAGGAGGATAAATGTTTCACACAAATTCTCTGTTAGTCAAGTCGTTTCTGAAAATCATAGTTTTTGTATTAAAAAAAATCAATGAGAGAGCTGAGTTCTGTGATTTCTTTCCCACCTCTCTCGTCCCACTTCTGCCAAGTTCGCGTATGGTGGCATTGCTTCGCTCGCTGCATTACCTGCGAGTAATGTGGGTAATGCAACCCCAGGCAAACCCGCTGCTTCATTGGGTCTCCATATAGGCAGCAACGAAGCGGAAAAAGTTTTTCCCCCCGCTGAAAGAATAAGGGACATGAAACGGCACTCAGATGGTCACATGATTTCCCTGATGCTGACGCCCACGTTTCAATAAAACTTTACGAGTTTCCACGAATATTTTTTTTTCTCCATTGCTTCTTCTTCTTTTGTGTGTGTGTTTGTGTGTGTCTCTCATTTTTCCTGTCGACGCTCTGTGACATCCCTTTGTTTTGCGAGGGCCCCTTTTGATGATTGCCCTCGTACATGCGAGCAGATGCCTTTCGAATCTGAGCTATAGCTTCGGGTTTTATGTCAGCGACTGGGATATACGCCTTTAATTTATTTATTTTATACTGTATATTTTTTGTGTGGATATTGACTCATTGCGTATCTCATCTGAACTCATGTTCTGTGTGTCTTTATTATTTTTTCTTGAACGTTTTTTTTTTTCTTTGCAGATTATTGCGCAAAACATGAAGGTCGACTGCAAATGTCACGGGGTCTCTGGGTCGTGCGAGATGAAGACGTGTTGGCGATCGATGCCCAACTTCCGTGAGGTGAGTGCTGACGAAATGATATGCACATTCAATCATATTTTTCTCTCTCTATCTTTCTTTCGGAATAAGTACCTCATTCCGGCTATCACCACCATCTTTCAAAATGTTAATATCTTCCATCAGAAGTGTCCGTCACTCAAATCTTTCATGCAAATTGCGTTGGTGTCTGCTTTCCGCTCGGAGTCAATTTTATTTATTCAATAAATTCATGACAATTCTAAAGGACCTCGTGTGATAAAGAGCTGTTAAAACTCTGTTTAAGGCAAGTAGATTTAAAACTACTTTACTTTGGCGACTTTTAACATTAGTAGTTCAAAAATTATTTTATTTGCCCGTCTTTTTTGTTTTAATTGAAACGGCATTTTGAAAATTTCCACAATTTCTCTCAAGGTGGACCGAAATGTCTTAAAATCGTTGACTTCAGTTTATATTCTAATGCTTTCTACAAAGGTTCCATAGCTCTGTATAATTTATAGATTATGTTTTATCTGGTTTTGAAAGTGCAATGGAAGAAGTGTTGTACAGTAGTGTACCGCAATATTTGACGATTACGAAGTACCGTAAGTAAATTCTTGAATTGAGGTTAAGACATTCACTTGTATTTGGAAAAACTGTTTCAAAAAATTGGGGGGAAATTACTAATTTAAAGGACATTCTCGAACCGATGGTACGATTTTCATGAATAATATGCAGAAATCAGTCATCAGTTAGGAAATTTTTTCTTATTCATTCGATTGTTCGGAAATCGGTCAAAATTTCTTGGAAACGAACTCCGTCAACGCTGACTCATGGTATATGAATATGCAGCATTCATGTTCGCCGGTAGTGAAATTAAGGTTTCAGTACTCTGCCTTTCCGGGGAATAAAACCCAGTCATTAAACCCGCAGTACCCACCATGAAAAGTTGTCCTTTGTCCTTAGGACGCGGAAGTGAAGTTTTTCCCGTCTATTTCGCGCGCCAGAAAAAAAAATGAGGGAATTTCTGAACTTTTGTCTCAACAGAAACACAGACGTCTCTTTATATTTTAAAATTCCTTTTCGCTTTTTTGTTTGCCTGATGATGCGTGAATAGATTGGAGAGGTGCTGAAGGATAAGTTTGACGGGGCGTCGGAAGTTCGAGCGGAGATGGTGGGCAACAAGATCAACCTCGTGCCTCGGGATCAAGGTTTCAAGCCCTACGGGAAGTCTGACCTGATCTACATCAACCGGTCTCCTGATTTCTGCGAGTACAATCCACACCGAGGTTCACTTGGCACTCATGGCAGACAGTGCAACAAGGTCAGCTTTTTTCTTTTCCTATAAATTTTTCTCGATTCAGAAATATGGCAGCAAATTAAACAGAAATATCCCCGCGAAACTTCACTATGAACGAAGGTCAACGCTTGGTTGGATATCGCCAATAATTTCCGCCTTCAGATAAGAAATTCATTCTTGATTTCCCGTGGCGTCGATTACTAACTGCTTCAAGTTTTAATCGCCATTCTCGTGTCCTTGAGCATTTCGCGTTTGCTTGAAAAGCTGTATAGTGGCTATTTGTAGATTTCACCGGAAATCAAGCTCTATATAGATACTGTACCCTGACTCGTTTAATTCGGACTAAAGGGAGAAAAGATACAATTGGAGCACGAAAATTTTTTGGATTATATCCCTCTGTCTAAATCCTGTCACTTCCTCGAATGGTTTAATCAATAAACCGTCGGATTAAGATTTCTTGAGAATTTTTCGCTTCGAAAACAGAAAGAACACGTTTAAAATTCTGTAATGCGTGGACTTTTTCGCTCTTTTCATCCGAAACTAAATACACTCTCAAAATATTAGAGTAGTTATTATCGGCATAAAGAATTGTTGGCATAAAACGGCATAATAATAGTTATCAAATATCTGGGAATGAAGTATTTTACGTGCATTTCTTGGGAATAAAAAGTTACTTCATGAAGAAATACTGCGGAGGTAACTCACGGTATTTAGCTGTGTATTTTGAAAGGCTTTCGAAATAAAATGGAAGAATTTCTGAAAATTTATTATCAAGAATAGCGAAGATAGCTTATCGTGTTTCATTGCATATTACCAAAGTCCGAGAATAATCATTTTATAAAAAATTGGCGTGCGTTTTCACGGATTCAAATGCGAAAGAAGGAGAACACTTCTCGCGGAAATTCTTTAAAATCGCTGGAAGTTTAAATTTGCTCCTTTTTATGCAGATGGTCGTTTATAAAGAACGTCCAAGAAATTGCTTTACGTAAATGTACATATGTCTCAACTGAGAAAAAAACTCACAGAAAAAAATGTATGATGCTCGACATATATTTTTTTTTTTCAAACATTCAACGAACGGTCGGACGTAGAAATTCATTGTCCCTATTGGGAAACATTCGTATATATACCACGAGTCGTCTTTTCGAAAAATACTCTCATGTCTTACAAGCCATCAAAGT